TTCTTGTTCATAATTATTAGATAAGATTGTTTTGGGGGTTTTTTTTGGTTAAAGATGTAACGCTGTTTGGTCATAACAACTTGAATAGCTGTTCTTGTCATGGTGTACTCTTAATTTGCTCAAAAGGATCTGGTCATACAACTTCTTTAGAAGTAGTTCTCACTCTCCAATTAGTCCTCATGACTTGGAAAGTAAATGGGAAGTTTGTAAAGAAGAAAGATTAGATAAATTCTTAGTCATGCTCAATTCAAAAGCAGTGGTTTTGTGACCTTACTTAAAAAGGTTCCAAATAGCAGCTTGCTGCTGGGTAGGTGATTGGTGATGTAGTTTGATGGGCTCAGGGTTAAAATGGATTTACTGAAACATTCACAAATACTGTAAAATCCAAATGTGTGGGTTGCTGATGACTACTTATGCCAGCCTTAAATCTCCCAGAAATATTTCTGTTACTTTTGTCCTGAGGCAAAGCACTGATGGCAGGCCAGCCTTAAATCTCCCAGAAATATTTCTTGTTACTTTTGTCCTGAGGCAAAGCACTGGTGGCAAAGTCTCCACCTTGTCATTCTGAATCAATGCAAATCACTGCTCTGTCTAGCAAAGAGGTAGTTTTTATTGCAAACACTGATTTTTTTTTCTAAAGGACTATTGCAGAAGTTTTTATTGCAAACACTGATTTTTTTTTTTTTCTAAAGGACTATTGCAGGCAAGGGTAGGACGTTTGTCACAACTACAAAACACTTTTATGTGTACAGAGAGCTGAGTTAAACTGCATCTATAGATCAGTGTTTTACAGCTTCAAATATGCGGTAAAGATAAAATATGTACTTATTTCTGTGAATCAGATCCAAGATGTTAAACTGTTTAAAAGTTAGAGAGAAAAAGCTATTTATAGATGTGGCTGCAGAGTCTCTGAATCAGATATATCTGACTTTACAAAGTTTTAAATATTTAAAAAATGTACATAAAATATGGAAGCAAGATTTTGAATATCCACTTCCATCAAAGCTTTAAAATATTGTTTTCTCCAGTCTTTTTTTTTTTTTTTAATTATTATTTAACCATTACATTTACTGTTCAGGAGCTTTGATTTTGGGTTTAGAAGTCAAGCAAAATTTAATGTTAGAAAACCAATGCCATTTTTTTGCATGAATTTTATCTTCCAAAATCTTCTGGGTTTTGTGGTAGCAATGTGTCTTGCCATGTCTCTAGCTACATGGAGTTGGATGCCTTTGTGATTGTCGATGGATGAGTGAGAATAAAGACTTACAGACAAAATGAGCCATAGTTCAAGAAATGGGAAATCTATCACTGAATTAAGGTCTGACCCAGTGCAAAGTGCCTAGCAATGTGGCTTCTCTTCCTACCAAACTAATTTGGTGATGGAGTTGTAGCGGGCAGTTTTGAGATACTGTGGTGCCTCTTTGCTTGCCAAGGCAGCATTCCTAATCCTGCTTGGCTTTCTCACAGTGAGGAAGACTGCCAGCAAGTGTGGGATGAATTCCCCAGGCTTTTCTGGGTGTCCTTTCCATCCTAGACCTTTTCCTGTCTTTTGTAACACAACTTTCTGCCCTCAGTCACTGTTGGTTTTTGCAAGCACAGGCTGTTGTTTAGCAGCATTGGCTACTGAATGTGCTGTTCCTGCTTTTGGCTGCCTGTGGCTCAGGGCAAGCAGGGAACCATGTTTCTGGCTCAGGAAATTGGCAGCTCTGTTGGCCCAAGTCCTGCATATGTCCCAGCCTGATCCCTAATTCTGATAAGCACCATCTGCATGCTGCATAATGAAACGGAGCGGCTCTAATTATGTGATAGTCTGCTTGTACGGAACTGTAAATGGCATCCTGACGTTTTAGCAGTGGAAGACTTGATTCTTAATGAAATCGGCCCCTGCACTATCTCAGGTGACCAGAGCTGTCACTTTTTAATGACTTCTTGAAGACAGGTCATGGTTTTATAATCATCCAGTTTCTGAATATACAGCAATATCATTCCATTCCTTTCTCAAAGGATTTTACCCTGTTTTCTCCCAGATAGTAGAAATTGCTTAACATTTGGGATTGGTGTGTTTTTGGTGTTTATTTCAGTCATTGTAGACATAAATGCTTTTTACCCTTATTATTTGCATGCTATTTGACTACCAGTAAGTGAATTTCCAGCATTTAAGCTGATATTTATTAATGACAGGATGCACAGTCTGACCTACTTTTCTGTGCACTGCCAGCAGTGAATATAACCCCTTGGAAGAGAAATGAGAAGACTGCCAGAAGGACTGGTATAAATGATTCACAGAAGACTATATGATCAACATATATATGAATAATATAGCAAAGCTGTATCACTGAATCTACTGAAAAATATAAAATTTGGTTTAAATAAATATATTGTATGTGCTGTTCAGAAGGTGGGGAAAATAGCAAGCGTTTCTTTGATCAAATCCAAAATCAGAGGAGTTTTTTTGTGTTAGAAAATTATTTTCTGTGCACTTAAATAGTAGTATTTTAGAATTATAAGCATCTTGCCGTTACCCTAAAAAGTCTTTGTGTGTCTCTCTCTTAAGAGAGAATTGAATTTGTAAGGGTTGTGGGGTTTTGTTTTTTTTTTTCCTCCTAGTCAATTCTGCCACATTTATTCTTTGTGTGTCTCTCTCTTAAGAGAGAATTGAATTTGTAAGGGTTGTGGGGTTTTGTTTTTTTTTTTTTCCTCCTGGTCAATTCTGACACATTTATGCAAAAAAAAAAAAACCCCAACCGAAGCAAACCAAAGCAAACCAAAGCAAAAAAACTCCCTTTATTTCCTCCTTGGTCCTGTGGTATTGCAGATGCCTGTCCATTACTTTCCCTCACATTATACCTCCTTAAGGGAGCCTTCATTAAAGGTGATTTTAAAAGGCATAAGCAGAAGGAGTAAGTAGTACTTCACTTTGTGAAAAGCTGCAGGTTACTGGATATCTTGCATATTCCTCTCTGTCACTGCCTGAGGGCAGATGCTTGTTCAGTAGCGCAGCGATTCTACTTGTAAACACCAGTTGCAGTATGTGTGGAGAAAACCATAGTAAGATTGAAGATCCTGGCATCTCTCTTCAGCCTTGCTTCTTCTACTTCGGCCTCTTACAGCAGTTGCAACTCAGGAGCGTATGAAATAACTCTGAGTTATACTCTGGTGGTACAAGAGATTAAAATGACAAGATGTATCCAAAAAAACTGGTTCCTACTCTGCTGGGATTAACTGGACATCTGTGGGCACTTATGTTTTGGCCTTCGTGGTCTGCAGCTCCTGGCTGTCAGGAATATTTGGCTTCCAAGCTAGATAACGCAAAAGCTGAAAAGATGGACCATTGAGCAGGTGCGGACTCTGAAGAGTGCATTTCATCCTGGAGGTAGACAGAAATTTTGAAGAGATGTAGGCTTGCAGTCAGGTAGAAGTTATTAATTTGGATTTATTAGTTGTGTCAGTCCTTTCCTTATAGACGTGTGGAAAAGTTAAACTTCTCAGACACATTCATTAATACATTTTATCCAAGGTTAAGGGGGGAAGAATGTTGACAATTGGCCTTCACAGCAATATTCTATGCCATTCCCTTCTTAGATGAGAAAAATACCTCAAATCATTGTGAAAGGTTGGTTAAGTAGATTTTAGTTTGCATCTGGCGATTCTGCAATGTGTGCTTGGCTACAGCTTTTTAATTAGCAGAGAGTAGTTATTCCAAGAATGGCAAAATTTCTGCACACCTTGCTGACATACCAAGTGGAAAAGAAAAATCAGAATTTGAGTAGTGGCTAGTTTGTCCTAAGCTGAGAGGTGCAGGCCTTTTAAATTACACATTATCTCTGAAGATATCTTTTGTTTTTTTCTGGTGGATGACTCTTTACTTAAAATTTTACAGTTCTTGTGCATTATTGTGCTGCAGCATCCCTGCTCCTCAGAGTCATATGTGTGTGCATGTTTGCTCAGCTTCTCTCTAGCAATTGTCTAGACGGATATTTAGCTTATCACGCTCTAAAGATTTAGCTGAACTAGAAAACAGAGGGCAGGATAGAGTTTTCTTTATAGTGGCTCATGCAACTTCTGTGGTGTCTTTCTGATTTTTTGATTTTATTGTTTTTTATAAACATGGTTATTTACTGTTTTCCATCAGGAAAGGTAGATGCTCATTTGGTAGAGCTGTAGTCACATTTCCATTTTAATTGACCTATTTTACAATTATAGAGTCATGGAATAATTAACATTTGAGAAAACCTCATCTAGTCCAACCTCCTAATCAAAGCAGGGTGGTTATTTACTGTTTTCCATCAGGAAAGGTTGATTATACAACACCTCTGGGCAACTTGCTCCACTGGTGGATTGTTCTCATGGTGGAAAAGTTTTTCCTTGTATCAAATCTGATCCTCTCATTTTAACTTACACTGTCTGGCTCTCGTCCTCCCACTCTGCGCCATTATGAAGAACCCAGCTCCATCTCCTCAAGGCCTCCGCGGAGGTCCTGGGAGGTCTTGTGTCTTTCTGGATGTGGTTTAATGAGTGCTGCGTAGAGGGGGATAATCCCTTCCCTCGACCACCTGGCCGTGCCCCTGCTAAGGCAGCCCAGAGGGCTGGAGGACCTCTCTGCTGCCCAGGTGCTGCTGGCTCGTGTTCAGCTGGCTGCCCACCAGCACCCCCACGGCCTCTTCCACAGAGCTGATCCAGCCCGGTGCTCTCCAGGCTGTGTCGTTGCAGGGGGGGTTTCTTTACAGGTGCAGGACCCGGCCTTTGCCCTCACTGAGTTTCATAAGGGTCCTGTTGGCCCTTTCCTCTAGCCTGTCTGGGTCTCCTGGATGGCATCCTGCACTCAACCGTACCAGCTGGTGTGCCCAGGGTGGTGTCATCTGTAAACTTGATGAGTGTTCACTCTTCCAGAGCATTAGTTCAGCGGCACTGGTCCCACGGTCCATCCTTGCATTGTGCAAGATATATTTACATAGTGACTTTCACTCTTAACAAACCCAAGTTTAATACCTTAAAGTAGGATGGCATGGCTGCTTGGCCTTTCGGTAGGAGTTGCCTTGTTTGAAAACCAGCCTTGTGCAGCCATTTTGTTAGGGAAACAGGAGCAAATGAGAGATCCTTGTAGCTACTGTCCTCTCACTCGCAATTGTAGGTGCCAGTATATTACAGTTTGTAGACTGCTTAATTGGGATGGATGAACGTGTGGTGGAGTGGTTTGGGTGGACAGGGAAGAGCATCATGAGGTTTTGATCACTTGGGAGTTTCTGATCTCTGAGCTACCTGTTGTGCAGTGTTGGTTTTTTTTTAATAATGTGACCGAGAGTGGAATATAGGTGTAAGAAAAAGATTTGTTCTCTTTCATAAGTGTGGTGACTGATACACAGTGCCTGTGTACTCCACGCCATGTCTGACATACTTGCACCTTTCTCACTCTCATACTATTCCCAAATTTGTAATCTGTGAGCAGTTTCTTAAAGGAGATGCAACTTCTGTCTGCTTTCAATTTTTTATGCCTTGGAGACCTAAGGTATCACTGAGTATTGCTGGCAAAACCAGTTCTGGAGTCTGACATCTCTGCCTCAAGAACAGAACATACATAAGCAGGAAAACCTGTATCACAGTCAAAGAGATAACTGTTCTTCAGAGGTGACTTCTTTTGGGTTAAACTTGGGCAACTTCAGCTAGCTGGAGGCGCTAGTTCTTAGGAACTGAGCCTGGGAAAGGAAGCCAAAAAACCTTCTAAGCAATTGGCATTGTCTGCCTGTTCTTGTGATGAATATACACAGCATAAAAATTTAATAAATGTGGGGCCTTGAGCCTGTACTGTGTGGTGATTGCTCTTCCCTCTTTGGTTGAAAAGCAAAAGTTTACAATATTTAGTTATATAATTTGCTATTTAAACATAATTTTTACTCTTTCCTTTTTTCTCCTTTTTCAGTGACAATGACAAATATTGGAGAAAAAGGTAAGATTTTTATTAGCTGTTTATAAGTGCAATTCATATATCAGGGTAGGATAGGAGTTTACTAGTACAATTGAGATACAGATCTAACTTGTTTTAAATAAGTGTATTTTTTGTGTTCCTCAGCTTCTTTTATTGTCCTGCTGTTCCTGAATACTGCTTTAGACATTCCAAATAGAGATGAGAAAAATTAAACTTTTTACTCTTCTTACTGGCTTTCTGATGTGTTACCTAAAATAATCCTTATGTTCTGTTTTTAAAAATTTTCATTCATAACAAGGAAAGCCCATGTAAAACCAGGACTTCTAAAGATGAGCAAGGTGTTTGTGCAGAGTGCAACATATTTAAATGGAAAATGAATTTTTTCTGGAGTTTCTTTTTAGCCAGTGTCTTTGAAGAAACAGAATCCTTCAGTACGCAGCCTTTTCAGAAGATAATAAAACTTCCTGATTAGCTATCATTATTGTTCCTTCCTACCCCTGTAGCACGTTTAGATTGCTTTTCCAGATGAGATTCTAATACTACAGCACAACATGGAAGTGTGAAGGGGCTGTGGAGCTTTTGGAGGAAGGCGTTGGGAGTTAGGAGACAAACTTTACTCTTTTTACATTTGTGTAATTCCAGCAGGTTTTATGAAGTCCTTGGTGACTCCCTCATTTAGAAAAAGTGTTTGCCAATTAAGAAACATTTACTTGAAAAACTGATCTCAGTTCAGTGATCTCTCCCCCCATATGAGTGCCTAAGCACATCTGCAAGCTTCGGTACCTACAGGCTTTGAAATAATTCCAGTTTCTTGCTGCTCTATTATGTGTGTGGGGGAGATGAGTATGTTGTTAGGCATTGCTCACAAAGCACAGTAGAATTGTCATCAAAATGCACTGGGGAACATTAAATTTCCTTATTTTTAGCTGCTCAAAGCTTTGGTGAGCTTCAGCCAGTCAGGAGTAATTTACCCTGGCTGTATTTCTACCCTAAGTGTTTTCGGGGATGAAAACCAGGCAGATGGGGCTCAGCCCTATGACAGGTTGCTGCGAATTTCCAGGCAACTCTACCTATGCTCGCTGTTTATAAATGGGCTACCTTCAAGCAAGGGATATGCCATTTGGGGTTTTTTTGGGGGGAAAAGTGTAAAATAATTTTCTGCCCAGGGAGCTGCAGGCTGCTCTTTTTTTTGTCTCAAGGGATTTGGGGTTCTTCTGTTGGACCCTCAACACCCCCAGAGGCAGTGGAGCAGCTGGGGAGCCCAGGTTCTCCATTGTGGTGCAGGGAAATTGGTGGGTGGGTAACCTGGGAGAAGCAACCGGTCAGGACCTGGGCCAGGCTGGAGAACTGAAGTGCAAAAGCAAACAAGAAAAGCTTAAGTCTTGTGCAGACTTTGAAGGGGATATATGGAATAATGTCTTTAGGCTAAAATGTTGTCTTCCTCCAGTAGTCTTTTTTTTTTAATGTATGAAAAAGGGCTTTTCTTATTGATCACAGTCACCATTATTCTCACAACAATAAAGTATCGGTGCAGATTAGTAAACCCATAGTATATAGAGCTGATGTACTTGCCCTATCTTGCCCTCACTTTATGCCATTAATATATTGTTGTTTAAAAAATACTTGTTTTGTTTGAGAAGATTTTAGAGTTGATAGAAAAGTACTGATAAAAATGTGGACTATTCCTGCCAGATGCTTGAGCAATAACAGGATGGTCATTTAGTGTAATCTGGGATATTGTGGTTGATGTGGAGTCCAGTTCCATCACTTACTTGCACTGATGAGATTTTTTTCAATTTATAGATACAGCATATGGCTCTTTTCCCCTGTCATCCCAAAACCTTTGTACAGGGTTGCTCCTCAGATTTTGCTAGCTTTTGTTTGTTTGGTTGATTTTTTTTACTGCCTAGTGAATAAGAATAAATATTTACTGTCTTGCTTATTTTCTGAGTAAACAAACTTCAACACCAGAAGCATTTATGTAGCCTTACTTTTGAGGCAAAATTACAAAAAACAACAGCATGCTGGGCTACTGTTCCTGCATTTGTAACCACCATCATTCATGTGTTATGGAAAATTCTCTAGCACTGAATAGCGTTACATATATAAAAACATGGGCTAGCCGTAGGAGGGCAATATTTCACATTGTGTAGTGAAAGTATTTCACAATGCATAATGAATCGCTTCATGATTTTTTTTACAAGCTTATGAATTTATAGAAATTGTATAAAGACTATTTGACCATGTAAATTCCATATAACCTTGAGCTTTCTATGGTCTGAGTTCATCTGTATGGCAGGGAAATAATATTTTTCACTGTTGCTGTCCTGGCTGTCCTTTATTTGCTCCTTCTCTGCACGAGGAAGAAAAATCCAAGGAAATACTCTTTCTTCTGTGTTAGAGCAAGTTAATGAGGGGATACAAGTTTTGGATTTACTATAAACCATAGTGAATTGCTTAGTACAGTGACAGCTTTTAAAGGGAAACACCTGTCCATCCATGGGAGGCTCTTTGGAAAAGCTAATGTTACCTTCTGTATTGTAGTAAAATAACTCAGCAGGGTAAATGTTGACTGGTATCTATTAAAAAAAAATTAAGAATAAATCACTGGCTGTGAAGAATATAAAGTAGTCAGTGAACGTTTGAATTTAAAGAACTTGCCTGTTTTAAAAAAACAACTTATTGTCCTCCCTCCTAAAAGTCTAGCAAAACAAAATAACAGGTTATAGTCACTGTTCAGGTATCACGAGCACGTCCACTCAAAGACTCCCCTCGCTCTAGTCATTGTTCAGGTAGCTCTCCCTACATGGTTTATACAACTAAAAAGTAGAGATGCATCAGTTAAATAGGATTTAAGGCACGTGTGAAGGGAGACTACTTGCTAAATAATTATGGGGCTCTAAGAGGCTGTTAACCGTTCCCCTCAAACTTTTGTAATGTATGTAGCCTGTACCATCACTTTCCCCACACAGTCTGTATTGGTCTCATGTAAAGTTGCAGTGCAGTATTTATGTTGCAAAGCTTTTGCAGAGCCTCTGTATTTACATCTGTTTGTAAGTACTATAATATCACTGGTCTGTTTGTATTAATTCTGTTCCTTTTTGATTTTAGCTGTGTGCCTGGTTACTTACCACATATTTTTCATGCTGTTCATCTGGTCATACTGGAAAACAATCTTTACACTACCAATGAATCCTTCAAAAGAAGTAAGATAAACTTAACTGTTGTTTCTGAAGTAGCCTAGTCAAATGCCTGATTTTGTAGTATTTGAACAATGAGAATTATGATCTCATAGAATCTGATCTAATGTAGTTTTACACTGTGTAGAAAAATACAGATGGTAGTTACAGCTTCTTAATAGGAGTAAGTCAGACTGCAAACAGCGTGATGACCAAGACAAAAAAAATATGCCCCTTCTCTAAGTTTTAAAGGTTTTTTCATAGATTTTAAAAATTAGATAATATTTATCATATTAAGAAGAAAAAGCCTCTCCACTTGAAAAGTATGACTTACTTGAATTTATAGCAGTTTAAATCTTTGCATGGGAATATAACACTTCATGTGAGCAAAAAATTTATTTCCCTGTGTTTAAGACTTACATTGCCTGTCAGGATGTGTGTGTTGTCCTCTGAATTAAAGCTTCTTCCCCATCTGTTTTGGTATGAAGGAACTTGGGGGTTGTGGCATGAGTGCACAACAGGTAAGCTGATGCTGGGAAGCCACAGCTGGCTAAGCGGGAAGGGAGCTAGTACAGAACAGCTGCATGGAAGAGGTCTGAGTAAATATATGTGCCAAGTCCAAGTCCAGCTAGTACAGAAGCATTAAAGATGGATCCACTTGTCTTGGAGAATATTAAGATACACAACCATGATCAACATGATGTAGCCTCAAGATAATTGCTTGTAGTACAGTATTGGGGGTTTTGTAATTATTTTAATTTCACATTCTTTCTAACATCTTACAAAGAAAAAAAGCAAAAACTGTCAATCGCCTTAATGAAAATCCTCATTGTGCAGCTTGGTACAACCAGCTCAACTTTTTGGTCTCTTCCATCCTGTCTTTGTACAGAAACTCCACAGTCCTCAGTAGGTACTATGTCACACAGCCTCTGAGGTCAAGAGAAATCATACTGTGGCTGCACTGAAGTTTGAAATATCCACAAAAGCATGCACTTGTGGCTCTGGCTCCTGTAACTACCATGCCAACACAAAAGAAATAGCTTGTGATTTCTACCATCTGAACAGTTTTCATTCGCTATTAAGATATGTAATTGTGGAAACAAGCAGATAATCCAAAGTAATTGGCATTTTCCTTGAATTCACACTGCAATTTTTACTACAGCTTTGGGCAGAGAGGAGTGAAATAAATTAAGAACCTATTTCATTTGGTAATTACGTAGCAAAATATATGCATGTATATGGTGACTGTAGCAATAATTAGAAGTGTTCTCAAGTCACTGGGCTGATGCCAATAAAAGACTTCCAAAACACTTTGACAAATCCTTATAAATTATAGTGGGATTCCAAAACCATTATACAACACTATTGGAGAACTTCAAATGGGATATGAAAAGTTGAGTAATAGAAAGCAATGTGTAGTGTTTCTGTGTTCTTTGAATTTATACAGTGTTGCTGGCGGTGACATCTTTGTCATTCCGTGTCTTTTTCCAAGCCTACTAGAGCAGTATTTTAAAATTTAATTAGGGTATTTTGTAATGTGAAGTTACGGCTTGGCTTCTGGTTTCTAGGATGAAGTCTGTAAATGTAAAAGGATTTATTTTCAACTTAACAGAACCAATTTATCAACTATGGCAAATATTCATTTGAAGACTGAAAAACAGATAAAGCTTTTGCGTTTTGTTTTCATGAATACTGAATCCGGTGCAAACCACACAGCCTGTATATTTCATTTTAAGCTTATTTCAACTTCTTACACTTATGAAAAGCACTAAAGTTTCGGCTGCAGTTTGCCATTCTGTACCTGTGTGTACCAGCTATATACAAGCATTGCATGAAGGTTGGAGAGAAGATGGTTTCCCAGGCATGAAGGTTTTGTAGACTTAAGACTACTCTGAGAAGCAATACAGAATGATGGCGCAATAGCTCTGTGTGCATCAAACAGCAAGCATTAAAAAAAAAAAGTATTCCAAACCAAGTTTCTGCAGTGAGGAATCCTATGTATCCAAATTCAGGTGTTGGCAAGAATGTATTCTTGCTAAGTAAAAACTGAAAGGCAATCTCAGAAACTCACGCTAAACAGTGAACCTTCAGCTTCTGCTGGCAGATTGTGAGCTTTGTCAGGAAGGCAGAGTGGTGCCTTCTCTATGGAGGTGAGAACAGGCTCCTAACTGTATTTTTCTGTCTGCTTCCTTAGTTTTACATGTATCACTTTAATTTAGGAAAAAATTTAGTATAATTGCAATGACTAGCCTTTCTGTAGACATAAATGCTATACAGAGGGCTTCTGTTAATAGTAGAAGTTAGAGACAGCCGCTCGTACTGCCAAATGCAGATTTCTTTTCAGAGGTGATCTGGTATCCTATGTCTCTGATAGAGATACTAAAGACTTCGGCACCTGCCCACTTCTAGAAGCTGCAGCAAAAAAGCTTACTATTGCTGTGTTGCAGCAGACTTTAGAGTGTAAGAAATTTGGACTACTTCATCTACAGCATGCGTCTCTCTCCGTGATTTTTACCCTCTCAGCTCTTACTAGAGCAATGTTTGTTGTTGCCATTTTGGGCAGGGACAGAATTTGTCCTTTTATCCAAGAAGATGTTAAGACATGTTTTTCTGTCATGCGGGACACCCACTTCTTCCTTCTCTCAGCCAGTCTCTGAAGTAAAAACATCCCAACACCTGCATGCAGAGAACAGCAATTCTCCGGTGGCAAAGAATGAAAGCGAAAATGCCAGACACCAGATGAGAAATAAAGCTATCTTTTCTGCTGTTACTATCCGTTAAAGACTGACATCCCTAGCGTATATTCACTAGCTAATATTTAGTATTACAGAAGTAAATTAATGGACCTTTCAAGGGAATGGTAAGCTCTTGGTCCTCCTCTTGAACAGTGTCACTTATTACTTCTGAAAGCATTCAGCATTGCATCAATACCAAATCAGGAATAATTCTACTTTTGTCTTCAGTTGCCATAAACTAAATTAGTTGTCTTAGGAACACTGAGTTATTTGCTATAATACCTTGTATGTGCTGCTAATCCATCTTTATGTAATGAATATTTATTTCTCTTGACATCTGTACTTCTTTAACTTGAAATTTGCTAACATATCTTTGATTTTTAAAATTATTCCAGTTTCATCTATCATATTCAGACAAGGAATCTCTAGAGCAGGAGCCTAGAGGTGAATCCCAGCAAGAAGTCTTAAGACGGGCAGCCAAGGATCTTCCTATCTATACACGGACAATGTCTGGAGGTAAATACGTGTTCAGGAGACCACCAGAGGCAGGTGCCTTGATGTGCTACCTAAACTAATTAAAAAAAAAATTAAGGTTTGGATTGTAGGGAAGAACTGCTTTTCATACTTCATAAAATAATAAAGTGACCCAAGAACTTAACTTTAATGTAGCTTTATGCAGCTACGTGTATTCAGTGGAAAGATTGTTGGAAAGTGAACTGCTGCTTACAGTTCAGGATTTTGAAGTGGATTGACAATGCCTTACTAAATGTTTTTAAGATGACATTAACAAATAGCTTGTAATACTAATAAACTGCAGAAGAGGCTGTAGCCCTCTTTAACTGAATAGATTTCTTCTTTCCTAGGTTAAAAAAAATAATCACTATCTGCATGTCATATATAGCTAGATAGGTCACAGTAAGAAACTGTTACTGTTTTACTGGCTGGTGTTCATTTGCAAGAACAAAAGTTCTTCCAAACTCAGAGTTAATCTTAACCTACTGGTACTGTAAGTTTGTGAATGCTGGCTAGCTAAGCAAATCCAAGAGATAATCTCATATAGTAAATTAAAGCTGTTAGAATAATAGCTTAAAATAGCCATATTGTTGAACAGTCTTTAAAGGTTTTCCAGTCTAGTGAGGGTTTTGTTGGTTCATTGGTTGTTTTGCAGAGATGAGGGGTTTGGAGGGAAAAACCCCGATTAGCATGATTAGCAGAGACTGCAAAAACTGAGGGCTTTGGGTTCACTCTGCTAGATTCAGCACTGCAAATACTTAAAGAACGCTTCAATATATGCAACTGCTACTGATCATGCTGAAACACTTTCATGGGGGTTCTACCAGGCTGAGCTTCGAGTATTTACTTTTGCACAGACTTCAGGAATCAAAATGTGTAACTGTACATTGAGATCTAATCTTGGAACTTTTTTCTTTAGCAATCAGATACTGTGACAGATGCCATCTTGTAAAACCAGATCGTTGCCATCACTGTTCTGTATGTGACAAGTAAGAAAATCTTTTAAATAAGTGTTTTTCTGAATAAATACATTTTTTTCTTGACACAGAAGCTCTTATTTTTATGCATAGATTTTTCAGGTTTCTATTTTTGGCAGAGAAGCTTTCTTTTTCCCCTTAGATTTTTTCCAGGCTTAGTTTCTGTTTATTTATTTCTAAGGAAGTCTGTGTCTTACTCTAATTCATTTGATGGCTTTCTTGATGCCAACATAAATTACATGGTCTTCCACATTCTTTACGTAATGCTTAAAAATTATGACTATTAATAAAGAACTCTCCTTAAGAATGCAACCAAAAAATAGCTGATAAAGAAAAATTTGCTTCTTTTGTTAGAATCTGAATAAAGATCGCTACCCATCTCAATCTAATCATGTTGTTACTTACATCTTATCCGAGGTAATAAACTTAATATCCTATTTTTCATTGGATAACTTGCAAGGTATTTTTATTTAAAGAAAGAAACAATGGAGCATCCCCTATTTCTAACTGAAGCTGTAAAATAAAGTTTTTTGTTTGTCCAACACAAAAGGAAGTTAATCTCCATATTCCCCAGAAGCCTCATTGCTTTCTAATTTAATCTTTCTTTCGGCTGTGGTTCTCTCTGACCTTTCTCCAGTTAGCTTGGATGTCTGTTTCTCCACTCTTGCCTCCAGTGGTTTAAATTTCTAACTTTAATTGAAGGCCTTCCTCAAAGGTTGATTTATGCTTAGCTTTAAGGCTGCTCCAAATATTCTTCAGCTGATAACACATCAAACCTTCCAACATGATTGTGAGGCACAGGAGACTTTCCATTGTTCCAGCAAAACAGCAGAGGCATTGAAAGAGAAACTGAGTCGAGGCAGAAAGAGGATCTTGGTTGTGTTGTATGGGATGGTGGTTGCAGTGTAAGATAGGAACATTCTTGTGTCTGAGCAGAGTAGAGAAAAAGGGTGACCTGTGTTATCTTATGAAATGTGAGTGAAATTTGCAGAATCTTTTTAGTTGATATATTTTGCAGAATACCTTCATATTGTCCTTACCTTGTCAAAATTCACTTGCTTCAATTATATCTGATTTTCTTGTGCGTGTTTTAATAACGGAGAGTGATTAATTACAAAAATATTTGGGATTTTTCATATGAAGTTAAGTTATTAAAAACCTCCCATGTATGCATGTATTTACATAAAAGCAAATCATAAACTCGTAAATATATTTAGTTGTGTCACTAAGTATATCATAATTGAAATAGCCCGGTTTCTAGGTCTCTGCCAGAGAATAAACAGTAGTTGAAAAATCTATTCAGACTGAGGACCAAATCCTAAAGCTGAAGTTGTAGGTGGCATTTTCTTATATCACCAAACTCTTGACAGAACGAGTGTTTTGGGTTTGGGTTACCTATAGTTAACTTGTAGGTAAACTGTCTTATGTGAATTTAAATAGATATCCTTGCTAAACAGATTAGGTAAGCAGTAATACATGTGGGTAATTCTTAATATGTATGTGAATAATTAAATCTGACATGTAATGATGCTTCTGACTTTTTTTCTTTGTTTTTCTTTTGCAATGCTTGGAATTCTGCTGGGTTTTTTTAAGATGCATTTTGAAAATGGATCATCATTGCCCGTGGTGAGTGTACTATCTGCTTTATGTTCTTACTTTCTGATTTGGTAAAATAAACCCTTGAGAGGCCTGTTATGAAGGTGCAGCTTCACTATTCCTACAGTTAGATGCTTACGCAAAGTTACTGATCTTGCAGGACAGTTGGAGCTGTCTGCTGTATATCCTCTTTTCGTAGTTGTGAGGTATGGGAAGAAGTTCACATAGCATTTTTCTTTGACCTTTGAGGTAGGTAAGTCTGCATTTTTACAGTTAGGAGGTGGTAGACTTCTGGTCAGTAACAAAACTTCTTTGAAGAATTGCATCTTTTCTTCATGGACTTTGATCATTATTGTGTCTCAGTTGCATTGAATGATTAAATACTACCCTAGGTTAAAAACCAAAGGGAAGAGCTGTGCCTTGTTTCCCTGGAGCTCCCAGAACAGCTTGAGTGGGTTTGCTGGAAACAGCAAGTTAGCTCTTTAGTTTTATGGGTTCTTTGTTTTCTTTAGTTTTCTCTCACCTCTCCCTTCTACCCTTCTTCCTTTTGTAGCTGTCAGGCTATTCCTGACAAAATACCAGTGAAAAGTCTCAATATTATTCTTATTAGATATTACATACATTTCTATGGTAATGGTACATGAAAAAGTCCTTCATGTAAACCTCTATTTCAGAATAAAAATCAATTGCATCAAATAACAAGTCATAAATGGAGCACTTAAATGTTGTGTGAAGGGGCAGAGTGATATTTCACTACAGTGTAGACTTCTAGGAAAATAAACTCAATTTTCAGTAGTATTTGCTTACTTTACCTTTTTGCAGACTGTTCATATCCAAACAACATAAACATAGTTAGAGAGAGTATTTATACTGCTCATTGTTTTTAATCTCATAAGCAATGAGTGCAAAAAAAAAGAAATGGAGAAGATATTGAAAGATGTGTTACGCTTCTTGATGGAGAGTTGTTCCTTTTGTACTCCGGGTAACAGAAATGCACTAGAAAAAAAGGTATTGTCTTGTTTTATTTCTCCTAAGTTGAGTGGGTGTCCACAGTTCCTTGCTTACCCTGAAAAAATGAACTATGTGGAAGTGGCAAGAGAGTTTTGAAATACTGCAAAGATGCTGATCAAACTTTATAATTGCCTTTAAAGACCCATGTTCAAAGGGACTTTGGGAAATATCACATAGCTATTTTACCAACAAAAGTAAAGGTGCAAATCAGTATAATGGGTGGGGTTTAGCCCCCCCCCCCCGAAAACCACATTAGGTCCTGCTTTGCTTTTCGTGTTGGGATTTTTTGGTGGGAGCAAGTTTGGTGGTAAAGAAGTTGGAAAGCACCTGTGTGATGCTTAGGGAGAGCAGGGAAACAATAATGGGAATTACTATTTTAATATTCTGCTAGTAGAAGGATTTCTGGAGAGAGGACAGTTGAAAATAACCTAGGGAAAGCAAGATGAAACATTTGGAAGGCAGAGGTGGTAAGAAGGCAGTCATGTCCTAGCCCCACGTCAGCTGTTTCCTGCTTTTTGGGAGGCTTCATTTTGGCTATCACTCCTGTGCTAATGGAAGCACTGTGATAAACAGAAATCTTTAATGCCAAGTGCCCTCTAACTACTCCAAAAGCTTGAAGTGGTGCAGAAATAAAAGCATAAGTGATGCAGAAATAAAAACATTAGTGATTTCTGTGCTAGTGATCCTGCTACTCATACTATAGCTGG